TCCTTCATTCCCTCTCCAGCTTTTCTGTAGCTGGTGTCGCTGCAGAGAGCAGTGTGCTAACGTGGGAGGGCCTTTAACTTGGTACGACGGCCCTCCCCTGTGCATAATGCGTGGAAATAAGGGTTAGTAAAATGATTCACAGGCACGGGGGTGGCAGCGGACCCGGGACAGCCGGGACAGCAGCGGGCTTCAGCTCGTGCTCGGAGTGGACTCCCCAGGCTAGGTCTGTTTCCCACCTCCCTCCGTGGCACTGCCCGGTGGGCGTGCTCCCCAGGGCAGAGTTTCATGGTGTGTGCATTTTGTGCATAGGTTCCGAGGCACGGAAGCCGTCCTCAGGAAGCACAGAGCAGACGGCACCAGGAGACAGCGCTGGGTACATGGAAGTTTCTCTGGACTCCCTGGATCTCCGTGTCGGAGCGACCCTGTCCTCCCCGGCAGAAGGTGAATGTGGGTGTCGCACGGTGGCTGGCACTGTCGAGCTGCTTGGCCACCGGCTCCTGTGAGAGCACGGTGCCCCAGTGTCTGTGGTAGAGTGTGTGATCGCACGCGGGGTGCACCCAGGGGACCCTCTCAGGCCCCGTGCAAGGCCAGTCCGTAGTGGAACATGTGCCCCTCTCCTGCGGGGCCCCGAGCGGGCGTGGCCTGTCTGCTGCAGTCCTGCCCAGACCTGGGGCCACCGTCGGGTGTGCCCCTCGTGGCTTCTGCTCGCTCTTGTGCTGAAGGGTGCCTTCTGGGTGGTCATGCTTGCCGCCCCAGCTGCAGCCTGTGATGGAGCTCCGCTGCACAAGGCCACTTAGGACCGTGAGTGCCCGCATTGCCAGCTCCTGGCGAAAGTCACACTTTCTATTGGGTTTTTGTTTAAACACTCTTTTCTTGAAATTTGCTGTAGGGCACATGCACTTGCCAGAGAGAGACAGGGAAAGTGAGAAACCACCCCTGGGGGTATGGGGACGCTGCAGTCTCTTCTCCACTCTCCTCTTGGGATTTTGGGCACGCGTGCACATGCGCCAGCTTCCGGGTCCAGGACTCAAACCTCTTTTACCGCCACAACCCTGGCTAGCCCCGCTTTTCATTTTTAAGTCACTTAACACTCCTTTATCAATGAGAAGGAGCTAATGACGGTGGGTTATTTTTGAGCCTCTTGGGAACAGTGCGTGAGAAAGTGAGGTCTCGTGGCTTCTTCAGGCCACTGGGTTCTGCAGGTGTGCGTGTGCATTGTCGCAGGGCGTTAACAAGTCATTTTTTAAATGACAGATAAGTAGCTTCGAGATGTGATCTCTGATGGAGGTTTGATTCACCAGTGTAGTTTAGGAAATCTCATCTTTAGTTTAAGACATCAATCGTGGGACGAGCAGTTAGTGTAATGGCTATGTCGCTGGACTCCCACGTAGTCGACCGCTGTTTGCGTCCCGGACCCGGTGGCTTAGAACTCACGCCGGATGCGTGTGCTTGCGTGCCCAAGATCCGGAGAGGAGAATGGAGGAGAAGGGATTGTGGCGTGACCATCCCCCCTGGGGGGTGATTTCTCGCTTTCTGTCTCTCTGTCTCTCTCTGGTGAGCGCACACGCCCTATAGAAAAAAAACTCTCAAAAAAAAAAAAAATCAATCATTGGCCTGTCCATGATCGAAACAAAGACTTTTTTCCATCTTACACCCGAAAGAACAAACTTTTTGGAGGTCATGAAGCCCTTCCCATGCTTTCTTCTGGGTTAATAAGCGCAACAGCGTTCTCAAGTTCCCTAGCCTTCTTTTGTTTCGGAGGTCTCAGGGAGTCCAGAGGTGGTTGCGTAGACAGTACCCCGTTGGCTGGATGACTTCTCTCCCAGGCAGTGGGGACTCCTGCTGCTGGGCTCGCAGAGCAGTGAGGCTGAGTGAGGTGCAACTCAGGGCCCTGCCCGGGGCTGATTTTCTTTTTAAATGGCGGAGGGCACTTGTGCCTGCCAGAGAGGAGGGGAGCTCAGCCCCAGGTGTGTGCAGTGCTGCCGTCCACGCTCCCGCATCGTGGCCTCCTACTCAGGTTTGGGGCCTGTGTGCACATGCACCTGGCCTGCTTTTCAGGCCTCTGGGGCCAGGTCCACAGCACAGACTCAGCGTAGCTGCTGGGCCCCAGGCTGGCCCTGCCTGGGAGCGTTGAGACTCTGCCCTGGTGAAAGCGAAGGTCCACGGTATCAACCTGAGGAGTGACCGAAGGGGCAGTGGTGGCAGACAGGCCCGGTGGGAGCCAGGTGGAGCAGTAGTCAGAGAGGAGCTACTCCGCAGAGGCTTCCTTGGATCCCAGACAAAGACTGGAGCTGTGCTGGGAATGAGCGTGCGTGATGGGGGACAGCCCTGCGGCCCTGTTGTGGCAGTCAGGCAGGGCGTATTTGTGCGTTCACCAGAGTAGACCGTGGCTTGTGGGCAGGGCGTATCGTGTGCGTTCATCGGAGCAGACCGCAGCTTGTGGGCCAGCAGCTCCACACCAGAAATGGTCTGGGCTCTGCCAAGGGAGGCCAGGGCAGGGCATGCGGATGAGCCTGGGCACAACAAGGATTCGGGCCTGGGGGGCACGGCTGCGTCACTGTCCTGCTGGGCCTCCCCAGTCGTGTGGTCACGGTGGCCTTGGGCCACCAGACTTGGCTTTCTTTACTGTGGCAGTTAGGAAGCGAGGTCGGGGCCCCCCTGGCTGTGGGGCCTGGTGCCCCCGGGGACCTTGCAGGCCAGTTCTCCGTTTTAATTTACTTAGCTGTGTGTTGTGCGGTGTGGGACAGGACCTTGTTGCTGTTCACTGGAGGCTCTGCAGTGTTGGCGGGCCTCACGTCTGCTTTGACCGGTCTGCAGAGAGGCTGCGGTGTGTCCGCTTCCTCCAGAGCAGCAGTCCCTGTAGCCCGGTCAGACCCCTGGGGTCTCTGGCAGCCGCTGTAGAGAGCAGCCATCTGAAAACGCGGTACGGCCTGTAGACACGTGCAGAGGCACTTTGGGAGCTGCCCTAGCAGTGGCTGTGCGAGCGTTTCCACAGAGCCTCCTGCATGTTGCGGGCTCTCTTCCTGTCCTGCTGATGCCCGAGACCCAGTACGAGGCTAAGGGAAGCCACCCATGTTTATCAGATTCTCCTCCAAAAAGATCGGAGAAATCACATGGGGCCGGTCGTTTTCATGTCTTGAACAATATACGTCCCAGAACAACTGGCTTTGCATTCCATTTCCCCTTCCCCCATCTTCTGCCGGTTCGGTTCCTGGTCGCAACTTCTCCACCAGAGAAGCTATGCCCACCCGACCTTCGCTTTTCTGTACTCGTGTGTTTTTTGTGTGTGTTATTGGGTCTGTTTCTCACCCACAGCCCTCCCCACTCAGAGAAGCGTGTTCCGCTGAGCTGGTCCCTGCCCCCTGTGGCTGGCCAGGGCTGCCTCTAAACTCTCCCACTGCCTTGGCTGTGGGGATGTCCGGCTGCGGCCCGGCCCTGTCCCGCCGTGGGGCTCAGCCCCGCCCTCCTGCATGTCTGTGGCTTCCATCCACTGAAGGTGGGACGGGCCACTGCCATTCACATGTCTACCCCAGGCACGCACTAGTTTGTCTCTGTCTCTGGCTCTCTCCTTGGTGTGTGTGTCTGGGCCGCGTCTCGACATGTTGCCGTCTGGGCCTCAGTTCCTGCCCCCACCTCACCTCCCACGCAGCAGGAGCTGCGGCGCCATCGCCCGGGGCCAGTGGTCTCTGTCTGTAAACGCCACCCTTGCCCTCCTCCAGCCTCACTCATGGCTCTAGGACTGTCGGAGTCGGAATTACGGCCTAGACAGCGAATAGGCTGTTACCAGAAGCCTTCCAGATGGAGTGTCTGTGTCATGTAACTAAAACAAGCTCGCGTGAATGCTTCTCTGTGTGAAAACCGGACGGGTTAGGAGCTGCCGACGGAGGTAGAACCTCCCTGGAGCCTGTGCTCTGGGCTGAGCGCGTGTGGTACCAGGTCAGTGTCGGCCCTGGCGGTGCCATGCTGGTTACAGGGCAGGCTGCACCTCATGCAGCCCCAGTGTGGACTGGACAGGCATGTGGCCCCGCTGTGTCCCCTCCCAGGTCCACACGCCACACACCCTGTGCTGTTTTGGTCTCCATGCCCGTCAGGTCCCTAGACAGACAGTCCCTCTGCAGTCAGGCTGCATGGCTAACACGTCTCTGTGTGCCCGTAGGGCTGGCCAACGGCCCGGACGCACTGGAGACGGACGGCCTTCAGGAAGTGCCTCTGTGCAGCTGCCGGATGGAGACCCCACGGAGCCGAGAGATCACCACTCTGGCCAACAACCAGTGCATGGCCACTGAGCGTGTGGACCACGAGGTGAGGAACTGCCCCACCCAGCCCGCAGGAGGCTGGCCGGCAAGTGTCCCCAAAACCCGGGCTGTGAGCCTCTGCTCTGCCCCTTCCCGGCTGCTGTGCGGGATAGGAGCATGAGCAGACTGCACGGCCAGCGCACGGGCAGCTTGGGGCCCTGCGGGTTGTGTTCCAGACCACTGCAGTCTTGTGAGTGCTGTGGCGGACCACACGCATGTCTGTCTGCCATGCATAGGGAGGCTGTGTCACCACACCAGGGCCTCCACTTGCATTGGCCCCGTGCCGCGGCTGCATCTGGTCGGCAGCACCTGGGCCTTCACGAGCCGTGGCCTCGGCTAGCGGGGCACCTCTCGGAGTCGACGGCTTGGGTAGTGCTTCCGAGGGCTGGGCTGCCACAGCACAGCAGTTTCTTAAAATACGACAGCGAGGAGTTTATCGCATCAGCCGACTCTCCCTTTCATGAAAGACTTCTCTGCAGCGGGTGATGTCCGGTAGCATTTGGCTTGCCATAGAATTTCTTTAAAAACTGTAGTCATTTGGAACCAGCGGTTGGCGTAATGGCTATGTCGCTGGACTCCCACGTAGTCGACTGCGGTTCGTGTCCCGGACCTGGTGGCTTAAACTCACGCCGGGCGTGTGTTCGTGCGTGCCCAAGATCCCGAGAGGAGAATGGAGGAGAAAGGATTGTGGCGTGGCCATCCTCCCTGGGGGTGATTTTTCGCTTTCTGTCTCTCCGTCTCTCTCTGTCTTTCTGGCAAGCACACGCGCCCTATAGCAGAAACTTCTCAAAACAAAACAAAAACTGTAGTCATTCCCCCCACCCCCAGCTCTGGCTCTGCTGTTCCCACTGAATCTGCATACCAGTCTAACCCTCTGTTGTTGGCGCGAAGCTCCGGAGTGGCACCACTGGGGTGGACGCCATCCTCAGACAGCACTGCCTCTGCTGGTCTGTAGAAGCAGCTCCTCATTTTGAAAGTCAGTTTGTGTTTTAAAGTTTATTCATCCATTTCTTCTGTAAGAGAGGCAGAGAGACAGGCTCTCCGAGTGCGGTCTTCACACCACAGCCCTCTAGCTGGGGCTCTCCTGGATTATGGACAGGCACATGTGCGGGTGCTTGAAGGGTGCAGACCCAGACCGCATGTGCGGGACCAGCTGTACCCTCCTGGCCCTGGCCCTGGCCCTGTCACAACGCGGGCTGCATGTGTAGCTCTGGTCCTCACTGCTTCTGCCGTGTCCACAGCCACCTCCTGCCCTGAGGTCCCAGCCCCTCAGGCATCTGGGAGTGGGACCCCTCCGTCCCGAGCCATGATGATGCGTGTCCGACCTCTCACCCTGAGTTACGAATGTCCTGAGGGTCTAGGAGGGCAGGTTTTCTAGAAGATGAGTCTACCCGTGGCAACCGCGCCTCAGAGGGTGTGCATTTTAGACGAGGCCTTCACGCTGAGACCCCTGGGCCCCTGGGCTGCAGGGGTGCTGACCTTCCTCTTCTCACCATCGCCTTGGGTCCTGGTGCGTTGTCGGAGAGCGGGAGTGTCTGAGAGGACGCTTTTTCTGGAGCTGCAGGTCCCAACACTGAGCTTCAGGTGTTCAGGAAACGAGGTTGTGACAGACGTGTGGTTGTCTGGGCACCACTGTCCCTCGTGTAGACCAGGCCGGGGCCTCGAGAGTCTCAGTGAGTGGGCGCTGGCTTTGCCAGAGTCGCCTGCGCGTCAGCCCCTTCGGTGAGGCAGCCGTTATCTGAAGCCTCGTGGCTGGCGTGCACCCCACCTAGCTGTGCCGCCTGGACAGCGTCTGCGCCTGGGGACACTCTGCTGCACGGAAAGCCCGTTGCTAGTACGGCCACTGCCTCCATGACCTCAGTTGGGTCTTCGGGTCCCCGCTCCGGTCTCTGCCTCTGCTCGCACTCCACGTCGGGACCCTTCTTTCTCAGATCAGCTCGCAGCCCCCACCTCCCAGCCTGCACAGGCCGGAGCCAGGAGGGTCTCAAAGTCTGTCTTGCTCTTACCATTGGGTGTCGCATGAGCAGGCCTCTCGTTGCCTCTGAAGATGTGACCATACTCCTGACTGGACGGCCGTGGCGCACTCTCACCGCTGGCCTGCTCGGACTGTGCCTGCTTCCTCTCTGAGCTTAGTCGTTTCTAGCTTTTGCTTCACGGTGAGACGCCTGCACCTCTGACCACCACAAGGTGTTCACTGGCCTAGTTTCAGGTCTTCATGTCTCGAGAGTAGGAAGGCCCGGGGTGTGAGCGGCCAGAGTGCACACGGCTGTGTTGGCCACGTGCGTCTCAGGCAGCTGCGGTTCCTGCTGCACTGGAGCAGCTGGAGTGAGGCGAGAAACCGGTGGTCACGAGTCCATGGGGCAGGTGAAGTAGTAAGGGGCAGGGAGGTCTCACAGGAGTTGCCAGACCGTGGGCACGTGCGGTCAGGACTGCTCCACGCGATGTCGCCGCAAGTGCAGGGAGGAGGTAGCTCGTGGGGAGACAACAGGGTGAGACAGAATCAAAACACAGTCAGAGGCCAGCCTGTGCGTGGTGGTCAGGGTGGCTGGGTCCACATGGCCCACTACGGTTCAAGTCCCAGATACTGGGGGTGCCTGTGTGTGCGTGCCCAAAAGGAGGGAGAGGTGAAGGAGAGAGGATCGCAGCCGGCCCTGCCTGGTGGAGGTGCCCCGCCAGGTCAGGCTTCCCGCGAGGAGGGCAGCGCAGAGACGTTGATGGAAAGGGCTGCGTGGAGCTTCTCTCTACGACCGTACTTGAATCGAAGCTCTCCCTACCTCGCAGCAGACTGAGAAGTTAGGACTGAGCCGCTGGCTGGGCAGGCCTGGCCTAGCGTGGGCCACCCTGTCCTAATGGGAGCCAGGCGCCAGTTCTGTGAGCTGGCGACCGTTGCTCTCCCAGTGTCCTTGCCCCAGTGACCCTGCTACCCTCGTTCTCTCTGGAACAGAAGAGGAAGAACGGGCACAGGAAAAAAGAGTTCACGCTTCCTGAGAATTTCTCCAAGTCTTCTTGCAAGATTTCTGGCAGCCCTGGTTGCCATGTGGCTGAAGCTGGCTGTGGGCTGTGGGCTGTGGACTGTGGGAGGGGCCGAGTGGTGGGTTCCATGGTGAGGGGTCAGCTCGGCTCCTGCCCACCCAGCCCTGCTGGAGGAGGTGGCTCCTTGGTCTGCTACTTTTCTGGGGTGTGTGTGGCTGTCTCGCCAGTGAGGTTTCACGTCGTGGTCAGCGTAGGTGGTTTGAGCCCTAACTAAGCTGTAGGGTAAGGGATGTTAATAGCCGCGTGCTCCCTGCTCCACCCGCAGGCCTCCAGCTGGGGGCCTGTGTCCGTGTGACAACCCTGTGGCCCCGGCTGTGTTGCCATATCTCGTGGGGCGGGGGCTGTGTCACCAGGGCCCCCAGGAAGGGCGGGAGGCCCTGCTGTGCACAGAGCACTGCTGGGACCAGCAGAGCCAGTGGGGTGTCTGGCCTTCGATAGGGTGTCAGAGCAGCCAGCCAGGTCAGTTTGCCAGACCGCAGGCCCGGCAGAGCCCCCTTAAACCTGGATTAGGGAGAATTAATCCATGTTGTGTTCGGTCTTCCCGGTGAATTCGATTCTCTGCTCCCATGTTCCCAGTTCCACCTGCTCGCCCAGAGTAAGAAGCGGCCTCAGTTCTGTGGGGCATGCAGGTTGTTGGCAAGCCTGTGCCCTCATGGCAGCTGCTGTCCTGGGCCCACGTGCCTTCCCCACAGCGCCCCTTTCTGCCTTTCTCAGGAAGGGCCTGTTCCGTGTGAGGAGGTGCAGAGCGCAGCCAGCCCTAGCCCGTGTGGCTCCCCCTTCCAGCATTTTGTCCCCTCTTAGGTAAACAACATGGGGCCAGGAGGTGGCGTGGTGGTTAAGGTGCTGGACTCCCACATGGCCAACCACAGTTTGAGTCCTGGACCTGGCAGCTTGCTTTCTCACGTAACCCCTGTCTCTCTCTCTCTCTCTCTGGTGAAATTTGAAGAAGAATAATGATGAATAAAACTAAATTAAAAATAGTGCTTTTTTTAAAAAAAAAAAATACAAAAGCAAACTCCTTAGTGGTAAAATCCACTAAGTATCTTAGAACCTGTCTTCATGTCTATAAAAGAGAAAAGTAGAGCCTTGTAGTGCGTTCCCATGTGCTGGACAGCAGCCTGCTGGGCCCAGCGTGTCCCAGTCCCGGCCTGCTAGTGCGTGTCCTTCCTGCCTTGCCCCACCTGGATCAGACCAGAGGGACTGACTGTCAGAGCGACGCTGCCTCTCCCCAAGAACGCCCTCCCGCATCCCTCCCTGCTCTCATGCTGCTGACTGGGAAGGAACCGGGCCCCACTCTGAGTCTGGCTGCGGTGTCCTTGTGCCGTGGCTCCCCTCGTCCCTGCAGCCTGGAGGGTCGACCTGAAGGGTTGTAGGTTGTGTTCCAAGCCTTAGTGTCAGCAAGGGTGCTCTGGAGGGGACTCAGAGCCAAGGAGCCTTGAGAGGGCTTGGGTTTCCCTGGCACCCCGTGCCCTCCCCGTCAGCCTTTTGTCTGGCTTGTCACCACCCTCTGCAGCCATGGTCTGAGTCCAGAAGCTGCAGAATCACAGCCAGGAGGGGGCACGGAGGTCCAGACGCTGACCTCGCATGGCCGATGGCGTGGTTTTGGGCCTCGGCCTGGCAGCCTGAAAACCACCCTGGCACATGCATGTGCAGAAAGCCCAGGAGCGGGATGGGGGAGGAGGGGCTGCATCGTGGTCGTGCCCCAGGAGGGTGATCTCACCTCCCCGATGTCTGTCTCTCTAGTGAGCACATGCGCCCTGTAGTGAAAAAAATGTTAAAAGCTGCGCCACGGCAGTGTCAGTCCCGTCTTCCTCCTCCAGTTCCTGGCTGGCATTCCTCAGTGTGGAAGACCCTCCTCATGTGGCAGGCTATTTGGGCCCTGAGCTGCATCTCATCCTGGAGAGGCACTGTGCTTGCTTTCTCTTCCCAGGGGCATGGACGGGTGCCCTGGTGAGCCCAGTGGCCTGTGGGCCG